TGCCAACAGGCTGACAGGCAATCAGGGGAGTTGGGGTAGGGGAGCCGAGGCTCAGGAAGGGGGCCCATCAAAACTGCTAGGGGGCCAGGCCCCGCGGGCCCCGCGTTAGCTACGGGCCTGCTACCAGACCCGATATTCACCACTAATCACTCGTCCAGCATGACCAGGCACCGTGTTCTGCTCCTGTTGGGCTTAATCATACCGAATACTGGGAGCGAGCCATCAACACAACAACCAGAAATACAGCAAAGAGAGTTTATTTTAAACCCGCACTTCAAACAAATACCATATAAAAACATGTCAAAAACCTTAATGCTTCTCTACGCCCAGTGATGGGAGGGGTGACTAACTGGGGTCTGGCACACACACACCCCCTTTAACAGCATCCTTCCATTTCTAGGTTCGTCTCTCCATTAGGGACCCTGCTTTTCAAAGCCCGGGTCTGGGGGGGGGCGGGCGGGGAGAAGACAGCCCTTTCGTTCGTTGGCCAGGATATCTTCATGGACCAGGGGAGCCCCATCTTGTCAGATCCCGGAAGCTAAGCAGGATCGGCCCTGGTCAGTCCTCGGATGGGAGACCACCCACGAATGCTAGGGTCGCCACGCAGAGGCGAGCAATGGCAAAACCGCCTCATTAAAACGCGGGCCCCGCGTTAGCTACGGGCCTGCTACCAGACCCGATATTCACCACTAATCACTCGTCCAGCATGACCAGGCACCGTGTTCTGCTCCTGTTGGGCTTAATCATACCGAATACTGGGAGCGAGCCATCAACACGACAACCAGAATGTGTTTGAGTCAAAGCAATTTAAGTCCAGGGCAAAACAGCCTCCAGATAACCCAGGGCAACGGCAGGCTGAAACAGGGCAGTCCACGGAAGGGAGGCAATGTCATGCAGAAGGGGGAAGAGACCCGGCATAAAAAGGCTGAATTTGATTTTAGTGCAGAATTGCTTGGAGGACACCATGGCGAGCATGGATTAAAAGGAGAGTGCGGAAAGGGCCTGAACGCCTCTTGCCTTGAGGACCCTATGAGGCTGCCACATGTCAGCCACGACTGGAAGCACTTTCCATACCCACCCCTTGCATAACCTTTTCCTGTTTTCCGAAGGGCGGTGGTCCAGATAGTTTGTCTTGGCTCCCCCTGGTGGCTACTTAAAAAGGTAAAGGTAAAGGTTGCCCTTGCTCGAAAGCCAGTCAAGTCCGACTCTAGGGTTGCGGTGCTCATCTCCGTTTCAAAGCCGAAGAGCCAGCGCTGTCCGAAGACGTTTCCGTGGTCATGTGGCCGGCATGACTAAACACCAAGGTGCACGGAACGCTGTTACCTTCCCACCGAAGTGGTACCTATTTATCTACTTGCAATTTCTTGCTTTCGAACTGCTAGGTTGGCAGGAGCTGGAACTAGAGACGGGAGCTCACTCCGTCATGCGGCACACTCGGGTCTCGAACTGCTGGACTACCGACCTCCCACAGCCTGCAGTGGCTATTTTCAGCCTCTCAGGTAGTCAACCAAATCCTGACAAAGGCTTTTTGGGGTCAAGGAGATCAGAGAACCTGGGACGGACTGATGGCGGTGGCCTCTCGTGTGGGGCTAAGGGCTGCTGGGAGATGGCTTGTTTCTCTACCAAAAGCGACTAGTCAGAGTGGGGGGGGGAGCAAAACCATCTTCTCCTGACCCCCTCACATGGAGTGTATTTCCTTCTACAGTGTAAAAGATTTTTAACCCGGCAAAGTGGGGGTGGGGAAGAGCTCACCTCCTGCAGCAAATCCGGTTAGCTAATGAGCTAAGGAGACATTTCATCCTGGGGAACGGAAATGCCTTTGAAGTTTAAGAACCTGATGAAAATTATGCTTTGCCAGTCCCAAAATAGACGAGCGCGATACGTGGGGCTTTGGCTTGGGCGAAACCTTACAATGCCATCTCCAGGGCGGCATTCACCCGTCACATTGAAGACGAAAGAAAAACATGCACCAACACAGTATGTTCCCACCTTCTCAAGAATCACCATTAAAGGTTAACTCCCTCCACATAGGGAGGCATGTGAGCTCGACTCCAAGCTAGGTTTGTGCGCATTTCTTCCTCAACTGCATTTAAAAGGGACCACCTGGATGCCCAGTGAGAGGCTGGTTTTGTTCCACTCAGATGGGACAAAGAGTGCGGGAAGGCCCATTCTCCCAAGGTCGAATCCAAAAGTTAAAAAGCACTCCCTTAGCATCACTGGGAAGAAATCAGACCATTGCAAGCTGCTGGAGGAACTGGATTTTGACCAGGCCAGATGACAATAAGCGGGAGGGAGGGACGCCCAATAAGGAGACAGGAGAAAAAGATGGAATCAGTCTTGCTAGAGAAACACGGCTTTGCTGGCTGCGAAGAGGGCAATTTAATTAACTCTGCTAGGTGCAAAAAAAAAAAAGCAAAGAACTCCAGGCTCAGACAAAGGTGGGCTCGAGATGCATCCATTCTTATCCCCCTTTGGTCTATAAAATGCAATTTGCAAGCTTGTGCAACCTAGATTTATATCGGGGCTGTGCAGGGAAGACAGGAGAGGTTTAATCCGTCAACTTCCACTCCGTTTCAATTAAGGGCGCTGGGCTTCCTTACTCTATCCGCATCTGAAAAGGGGAGAGGTGTTCTTAAAAAGCATGCTACCAGCAAAAATAAAAATGCTACCAGCAAAGCCTCCTTTCAATTACTCAGAAACAGAGTAATCAGGTTTGTTTCATCAGGTTTGTTTTCCCATAAAGTCTGGTGCAGCCGGAAATCGGAAGAAGAGTTCTGGTGGACTCAAAACACTTGCAAACTCCTCTGTGACGTTTTAGTAGGCCTCATAAAAGGCGCTGCCCTATCATATCTTTTTGTATTTTTTTCTAATGTCTGTTTATTTCATTTCCTCCCACCCTTCCTCCAAGGAGCTCAGGGAAACATACGGTTCTCCCACTGCCTCCTTCTATCCTCACATAAAGTCCGTCTGTGAGGCAGGTTAGGCTGAGAAAGAGAATGATTGGCCTAAGATCATTCAAGAAGCTTCAGGTTGCGCTGGGATTCGAACCTGGGTCCCCCCAGTCCAGTACTCTAACGGCACACTGGCTTTTACAGTTCAGCACTGTTACCTGCAACTTTTGTCAAGGTGATCTCACTTTCTGATGCAGTCACGATGGCCACCAAATGATATAGTTCTGCAGGGCCTGCAAGACAGAGTTGTTCCACCAGGCTTATAGCTGAGAGCAGCGATGGCTTCCACCATGGACTGGCCTCCTCCCTCCCTCTGTCCTTCCCTTCCTCTCCCCTTCCCTTTCTGAGTCTACTCCGTGGATATATACAATTCCCCCCTGGGATTTTATGCCATCTTTTAATTGCACTGTTGCTTTGTATTATGAATTTTATAGTGTTTATTGTAATAATATATTTATCTTAGACTGCTGAATGTTTTACTGGTGGTTGTCCCCCCGCTCTGAGCCTGGTCACAGGGGAGAGCAGGCTAGAAGTCTAATAAATGAAAGGAAATTTAAAAAAAATGGCCGCCGCCACCCCAGGTCTGAAGCGACTAGGAGTGAGGCAGGCCACACGGCAGAATGGCCAGGTGACAGCCCCGGCGGTAACAGGTGGGGGCTCACCTTTGAGCTGTTTCATTTTAGATACACTGGGACTGTGGCATCCTGCCAGCGAAGTGCATTCTTTGGCCGAGTCCCAGAGACAGAAACCGTGCAGCAGAATTCTAGGCGCCTGACGCAAGGTGTGCCCGCCCATGGAGCAACCCATGAGGCTGACCAGGATCCCAGCCCGATTTAAGCAGGTATCAGGGCTGGGTCCAGGTTTCCCAAACCCACACAGCCGTTGCGGAGAATCACTTTTTAAAAAATAAAGCAGAGCCCATTCAGGCTCAGAATGCCACCACGGGAGGAAGGCCCCCTGCTTCCCCCTAAATCATTTTCTGTGGTGAAAAAGTGTGCGGGGGGGTGGGGGTGGGGAGAGTTATTTCCCTGTCTGTTCTGTGAAGCAGCAAAAATGGGGAAATAACACCATCACCCCAGTGCTGTTTTGGCACAGAAAATGGCTGGCGGGGGAAGCAGGAGCTCTCAGCATTCTCGCCCCCCGACTGCTGGTTCATAGGACAAGGGAAAGGCTGCAAGCCAAATATTCAGTCAATACCAAAGTCCCTAATGAGACCAGTCTTTAGTTAACCTACAGAGACCCCCCCCCTCTGCTTGAGGACTGGGAGACTGGGCCAGTAACGCCTCCCTGGACCAAGGCTGTGCTTTCCCACCGCTTTGCAGATGCAACAAGGAGCTGCCGAAAATCCTCTGAACAGCTCCTTTTCAGCAAGGCGAACACTGCGGGAAAAGAGCACAGAGCCAAGGAATGATCAGAGGCTGGGTATTTTGGCGTAGTGATTAAGTGTGTGGACTCTAACCTGGGAGAACCGGGTTTGATTCCCCACTCTTCCACTTGCAGCTGCTGGATAACCTTGGGCAAGCCATAGTTCTGCCAGAGCTGTTCTCTCAAGGACAGTTCTCTCAGAGCTCTCTCAGCCCCGCCTACCTCACAGGGTGTCTGTTGTGGGGAGGGGAAGGAAAAGGAGTCTGTAAGCTGCTCTGAGACTCTGAGTGAAGGGTGGGGTATAAATCCAATCTCTTCCTCTTCTCCTAGAACGTGCCCATTTTTTTGGGCCTTTGCCTCTGATCAGAGGCCCAGACATCCTACAGTGTTGTTGTTGTTGTGGGAGCATGTTGGGTTTTCAACTTGAAAAGGCAGGCTCAGTTCTTGGTCTACTCAGACAGGCAGCGGTTCTCCAGGGTCTCAGGCAGGGGTCTTCCACATCACCTCCTACATGATCCTTTCAACTGGAGATGCCGGGGATTGAACCTGGGACTTTCTGCATGCCAAGCAGATGCTCTCCCGCTGAGCCACAGCCCCTCCCGGCCTGTGGAGGCACAGACAGGACCCGGTCCCTGCCCTCTTTAATGAATGACTGATCCTCGGTATTGATGCAGGAGTCTTAAAGGATTCCAAGAGCCTCCTGGACAGCCTTTGCTGTTCATTCTTACACAGCCATCTTACAAGGCAGGTCAGTATTATTCCTCCCCGTATTGTTGGGTGCGCCTCGAAGGAGGGGGAAGGGCCTAAGAGCCACACTGGGGATTTCCGGCCCTGTAGGTCAGCCTCTTAGCTACTAAGCTATGCCAGGGTTTAGCCAAATGCTTTTGCAGGAGGAGACGTCTCGTGCAGATGGGAGAGTGGGAAGGAGAGGAGCAAAGCCCCAACAGCTTCCAGCAAGGCTGACTACCCAACGGGCAATTACTGCAGAGGCAGACCCGTTTCCCTCAGTGTAGCCCAGCAGCGACCCTTTTTAACCTCAGCGTTGGACAAGCGTTCCATCCCTTCCCACCTCCCCCAACTGACTGCCACATAAAGCAATGCCTCAGCGTTGGACAAGCGTTCCATCCCTTTCCACCTGCCCCGACTGCCACATAAAGCAACAACAGAACCTACAGAGCTCCCACTCTCTGCACATCATGGAGAGCTAGAGCTCCATATAAGAAGAGGTTCCAACAGAACAACACATATCCAGTCCCCGGCACTGCAACTGAGAAGACCCAGATTCTCGCAGCCGGAGCGCCATACAAGATGAGGATCCCACGGCACAACACACACCATTCCCCATCACTGCAACAGTCGCTTATACAGCACCAAGACCCAGATTCTCCAAGCTCCCGCTATCTACACGTCCCAGATAGCCAGCTGGAGATCCATACAAGACGAGGCTCTGGCAGCACAATGCACACCTCCAAGCCCCACTGCTGCAACCGTGGCTCCCCAGCAAGAGAACCCAGATTCTCCCAAAGAGCTTGCTGGTTCCAGCCATTCAGATAGAGTCTACCTTGAAGCATTCATTCTACAAGGCAGTGACAGTTAAGCATACAAGAGACATTTCCTTGGAACAATGTAATTTTGAAGTCCTGCGCAGCTTTCCTGGCAGAGAATCCCAGGTAACAGGCAGAGTTTCCACAGGAAGTTCCAGCTCTCTGGCTTCAGCAACAGGTATATAAATAACAGCCCAGGAGATGCCAGAGGGGATCTGTTTGTATACAGTTGTCCTAGCAAAGTCAGGGCTTGAGAAAGAGCATGCCCACAGTAGGACGCGCCAGTCCTAGGCACCAGTTATTTTGGGACATGACCTGGTACAGCCTCTCCACACTGTGCCTTTGTGATCTTACCAGCTGGAAGCACAGGCTGTACCACAGCTACTCAAGAAGGAATACGAAACAGCCAAGATGGTGCATACAAGGCGAGGGGTGCTCCTGTCCCGGAGATGGGATTATCCCAGAGACACAACCCTTTGCCTAGGTCATCGGGTTGAAAAAAGTTAAATGAGGAAGGGGGATTCTACAGAGCCCGAGATATCACGGGGGGTACAGAAGTCAGCCCTGCAGCGGCCAGCCTTCGGACCAAGCCCATCTCTCCCCCCCCCACCAATCTCCAGCGCATCAAATAAAAACGGGAGGAGCACAGGAGCTAGCGGCAGCATTTCTGGAGGCCATGATTCACATACAAAGCGGAGAACTGGTCAGCAGGGGCAATGCTCCAGGTCAGCCAACTGATCAATCCGGCGGTTACTGAGCGGGAGATGGCAGCAGCGCAGGGGGCTTCCAGACTGAGGCGTCTCCTAAGAGGCCATGCCGAGCAGAAACCCTCCGACAAACCCGCCGGTCAGGAGAACGTTCTTCTTCAGAAAGGAGATCACCTGGGCAGGGAGAAAGAGAGGAGCTTAGATGGGCGATGCGCAGGCTCCTGCAGTTCCCACAATTAAAATTAAACCATGACAAAATGCAGCATCCCCTTCAAGGAACAGTGAAAGACAGCTGGAAACTGGTATGGTGTAGTGGTTGGGATAGGATCCGGGAGACCCAAGCTTACAGCCCTCCTTCTACCATGGAAACGTGGACCAGTCACCCTCAGTTTCTCTCTCTCTCTCAGCCCTACCTCGCTGGAGGAAGGGAGAACAACGTTGTACACTGCTTTGGCTCTCCATTGGGAAAAAAGCAGAGTGTAATCACAAATATAAATAAATATAATCCCCCATGTGACAATTTGGGTGAGGATGAGCTAGACCAGGGGTGTTGAACTCATTTGTTATGAGGGCTGGATCTGACATAAATGAGACCTTGTTGGGCCAGGCCATGTGTGTCATAAAATGTAATGCCAGGTAGCGGAGATATAAACTTTATAAAGGACACAAACACAAAGGTGGTTTTTTTAACTTAAAATAAAAACATGCTTAAAACAGCACTCTTGCAATATTTTGTTTATTTAACAGTGTCTGATAACTGACACCTCTTGCACTGAATGACTGCATCAAAATGTCTGTGCTGTTGCAATCTTGAGTATGCTGTTCAAGTATGTACCTGTAAGCTGCAAATCTACTTTTGCTTTATTGACATTCACCACAGATATCTCATGCTCAGAGTTCTGAGCCTAGGACCCAGGGGAAAACATGAAATGGCTGAGCGATAGAGAGAGTCTGGCAAAGCAAGCTATGATGCAGCAGCAGCAGCAGCAGAACGGGAAGCAGGAGATGGCCAGTTCCAGTGCGGGCCTGATAGAAGCCCTCCAGGGGCCTGAACCGGCCCCTGGGCTGCATGTCTGACACCCCTGAGCTAGAGAAATACGGCCGGTGTTGACACCCAACCAAGTTGGGCAGATGTCCAGAAGTAGTTCAACGGTCCACTGAACCAACATAACCCCTAATCTGCTTTACCCATTGCTCCCCCCCCCCCATGGGGCAAGGAGTGACTTGCAGAAAAGACGCTATCACAGACTACATATCACAGCAACATCCTTACTGAAGGAGAAGTGAGAAAGCCAACAGGGAGTAGTAGTGAAAATTGTCAAACCAGAACCAGTGAGATTCGGGTTCAAATCATCCCTCAGCCACCAAGTTCAGTGGATAACCACAAGCCAGTCATTCTTTCCCAGCCTAACCTGCCTCACGGGGTTGCTGCAAGGATAAATGAGGGGGGTCTGTGTGTGCTGCCCTAAGCGCAATGGATAAAAGGCAGGATAAAAATGGAAGCGAGAGAAACAGAGAGAGCGAGAGAGCGTGAATTAGAAGAGACTGGATTTATACCCCACCCTTCACTACCCAAAGGCGTCTCAGAGCGGCTTACAAACTGCTTTCCTTTCCCCTCCCCACAACAGACACCCTGTGAGGTAGGTGGGGCTGAGAGAGCTCTGACAGAAACAGCTCTTTTTCAAGGACAGCTTTTATCAGAACTATGGCTTGCCCAAGGTCATCCAGCCAGGTGCAAGTGGAGGAGTGGGGAATCGAACCCGGTTCTCCCAGATTAGAGTCCGTGCACTTAACCACTACACTGAACTGGCTAGAACGTAACGGGTCTCTCACCAGGGAAAGACTTGCAACAGTGCTTGGATTTGACAGTTCCCTTGCTTTTCTGCCCCAAGCAGGCAGAAAACAAAGGAAAACTACAGTGTCCCTGATGGTCCTCTGTAAATGACCAGTTTGAGAACCCTGATTCTGCACAGGACAGTCCTACACCATCAGCCCAAACCCTTCTGCCACATCACAGGTTCACGGCTCCCTCGGAGTTGAGCCTGCCTACCACTTCTCTTCCTGTTTGAGGGCCCTTCCATCCACCCGGAAGCTTCTGCCCTTCTTCTGCACAGCTATCACCGACACGCCCAGTGGTTTCCCCCAGGCAAGGGTCAGGAGGACATTGATGGCCTCACCTCATCCACTTGGGTCTTGACCTCTGGTGCCAGCTGGCTGTGGTTGCTGCCGTGAAACTTCAGCTGCTCCTTGGCTTTGCTCACGTCCCGCTCCACCATCTGCCAGTCGACTTTGATGTATCCCGTGTGGTTCGCGATCTGGGCCAGAGGAAGAGGGGATGAAAAGCCCTGCGTGACTCTGGGCCTTCCTGACTGGCCTCCTCCCTCCCGCCTGCCCATCCTTTCACAGCAGGTCACCCAAAAAGCTTAAAGAGAGATCCTGTCACTGCAGAGCCGGTAGAGTGTCATGGCTCAAGTGTTGGACTGGGATCTGGGAAACGGAGGCTCAAATCCCCGTTCTGCCACGTAGGTCATTGGGTGACCTTTGGCCAGTCACCATCGACCTAATCTGCTTCAAAAGTTCTTGTGAAGATAGTGGAGAACTACGTATGCTTCTCTGATCTCCTTGAAGGCAGGGCAGGATAAAATGTACTAAATAAAAAACTGACAGGCCACCGCATAGGAGGAACCAACAAATGTGAGATGATGTTTAGAGTCTGGAGACCAAGACCTTGGCCAATGGTTGGCTACACAGGAGACATTCTACCTTTCTAGGAGGGATGATCTAAACACAAAGGAGCATTTGAAAGGCCCCAAGAGAAATATGGTGTGGACAGCCTTCTAAGGAAAAGAGTTTTGTGCATGCCTGTAGGCTGTTCCTGGGAGGGGGATCCTGAAGACCAGTGTAAAGGTTAGTTTCGCTCTAAGGGATCAAGCATGATTGTTGATGCTGTGTCAACTGCACTGGCAACTGCAGAGCTTGTACTATGCGCTGCAGTGCGAAAAGAGGAGAGCAATTGGGAAGCCCTGCAAGAGCCAAACAGGCATGCTCTGTGCCTTTGACAGGTCTGCGCTAGGCAGAGGCCAACAGATAAAGCCCCCCCCCCCAGCAGCTCCTCCAAGCACTGGAAGGTGTTGACTGTAGCATCAATTTATATTCCAACTCTTCAGAAACCTGCTCAATCCAGCTCACAGAATAAAGTCCAAAAATCATTTAGAAAATTAAAAACCCAGAACATTTATAACACAATGCTATGCAGTGTTACTTCTGTCTAAGCCCAATCAATAGGCGTACACTGGAGTAACTCTGTATGGTACTGCTATCCAAACGATCCTTTTAACGGTCTTCCAGCTGGACACAGATTGTAAAAGTAATTAAAGAAATCAACCCTTAGTTAAAAAGCCTGGCATCTAAAAGATAGTAGAGTGAGGGTTTGTTAAAGTAAAGGTAAAGGTTTCCCTTGCTCGAAAGCCAGTCGAGTCCGACTCTAGGGTTGCGGTGCTCATCTCCGTTTTAAAGCCGAAGAGCCAGCGCTGTCCGAAGACGTTTCCGTGGTCATGTGGCCGGCATGACTAAACACCAAGGCGCACGGAACGCTGTTGCCTTCCCACCAAAGTGGTACCTATTTATCTACTTGCAATTTCTTGCTTTAGAACTGCTAGGTTGGCAGGAGCTGGAACTAGAGACGGGAGCTCACTCCGTCATGCGGCACACTCGGGTCTCAAACTGCTGAACTACTGACCTTCCACAACCTGCAGTTCAGCGTCTTAATCACTTGGGCCACCGCAGGGTTTGTTACACAGCCCTTAAAATCCCAGAGTCCCTGTGGTAGCACCCAGGAACGAAAGGCATGGCAGAGGAATGAGGCTCAGAAATACATTCCATAAAAACTGACAAGTTGATGCTGCGATTTCCAAAGACAGATGAGCATATGAAAGCTACCAAGCCAGACCAGCACCCCACCTAGCTCAGACATTTCGACAGTAGCTGGCAGCAGCTCTCCATGGTCTCACAGGTCTTCTTCAGCCCCAGCCACCAAATGTGGTCATCATAAGCTGCCCAGCTCTGAGTGCCCCCAGTCTCTGAAGCCAGAGCTTCAGAGTCGAGGCATTTTTAGTGGTGGCACCCATGTTGTAGAACTCCCTCCCTACAGTGGCTCACCTGGCACCCAGTCTGCGTTCCTATGCCAGAATATGCCTTTATTCTCTCAGACTTGAAGATGGCTTTAGCTATGCTGTCCTGGTGCATTTAGGCTGTAGATTTAGTGGCTAATTACATGCTGTTTCTGGGATTGTGAGCTCCCCCCCCCCGCGCGAGTTTCGCGGGGGTCTTCTTTCTTGTACATATATAACTATCATTTGAATTACTGCTCGCCATCTTTTAACTGGTTGTTTCTGGTTTTAGTTGTTTTTAGATTAATTGTGTTAACTGGTTTTTATTGTTATATGCTTTGATATTACCCACCCTGAGCCCGTTTGGGAAGGGCAGATATACATTTAATAAACAAATAAATAAATAAATAAATTGGGATCGTTTCACATATCTGTTTGCGTTGTCAATTTCATGTAGATACACGTTTTAGATATTTAAACCCTATTTTCACCAACATGATGGACTTTCCTGATGCTTTAAAAGTGCACCGTCTTCTGAATGATTCCGCTCCGTAGCCATGTTTTTACAATCAGCTATAAAGCTACAACAGGAAAAACTACCAAAATGAGCAACACTTTGAAACAAATTGTTTTATGTAACATTATGCAATATTATGTAGAATGCAAAATGCTTGGTTTTATATGTATGGTTTTATATGCATATTTCTCTTTTATACTAATCCTCTTTTAAGGTGTTGTTTTATGCCAATAAAGGCTAACTGAAACTGAATAAATAAATTGCATTATTTTATTGTTTTAGATTGTAAGCTACCTTATTACACAGAGGAGCAGAATGCTAATATCTTAAACAAATAATCATCAGTAAATACTTGGGATCCTTTTAAACTGGAGACGCTAGGGATTGCAACCTGCTATCTTTTGCACGCAAACTACGTGCTCTGAGCCACAACCAATGCTCCCTCTAAGCTGTGTAGTCTTGCGAGCAAAAATTCTACTTTGTGAGCGACTGGCATTAAAGTTGTGAGCGAGTGATCTGGCTCCTGCATAAATTAGCTTGCTCTGGGGCCATCCTTCCTGAGCTAAGACAAAAATCTGTGAGCTGGAGGCTAAGAAACTGTGAGCTAGCTCACACTAACTCAGCTAGAGGGAACACTCGCCACAACCCTTTTACCAAAGACACGGCACACTTCAAAACCACAAAAAGTGCTCAGGCTTCAATCTGCTCTACAGGCAACTCAAAAAAAGGAGGAGGCCCAGGCCGGGGCTGGCTGGTAGACGCTGCCCAAACCAGTTAGCAACAGCCCATTAAACAGTCACTGGAGTGAAAACACAAACACCACTCATGACAGCTGGCATCTGGCTGCCCTCAGAGTCCAAAACCTTCCGCTGTTGCTGGCCACTCCCAAGTCCCGAGAAGGTGATACCAACCTGAAGCAGGAAGAAGCCACCTCCCACGGCAGTTGCGGCCAGTTTCCCAACCTTCTGAAAGATGAAGCCGGTGCACCTGGAAATCAAACAAGGAGACTGCAGAATGCCACAGCACAACTATTACCAGGAGCTGGACAGAGCATGCATATGACTCCCATTCTGCAGACCCTCCACTGGTTGTCCAATTGTTACTGAGCTCAGTTGATGGTACTGGCTATCACATATAAAGCCCTTCATGGCCTTGGCTGGTCTTATTTACGGGAGCACCTATCTCTCTATGCTCCACCACAACAACTCTGCTTATGTGCGCAGGGGTTTCTGCAGGTGCCAACCAATGTTCCCTCTAAGCTGTGGATTCTTGTGAGCAAAAATTCTACTTCGTGAGCTACTGACATTAAAGTTGTGAGTGAGCAATTTGGCTACTGCATAAATTAGCTTGCTCTGGAGCCCTCCTTCCTGAGCTAAGACAAAGATTTGTGAGCCGGAGGGTAAAAAACTGTGAGCTAGCTCACACTAACTCAGCTTAGAGGGAACACTGGTGCCAACCTGCAAATGGGCAAAATCAGCTCCCACCATGTAGACTGCAAATGGGCAAAATCAGCTCCCACCATGTGGACTGCCCTGCCCGAGGAGGTCAGGAAAGCTCCCACTCTCCTGGCCGTCTGCAAACTATGCAAAAACGAACTATTCAAAAGGGCTTTTCTGCGCAGGTAATAAGGCTGCACGGCACAAAATGGTTTCACAGACTCACTTGGATAAACAATGGGAACTTGTGGTCTTTACTGCTGTATAGCATGTACTGTAAGCAGAATCTTATTATGTAATTTCTGTACTGCTTAATGTGTCATGTTAACACTCATCCTATGCTCCTGGTCCTGGCGGTTCCAGACTTCCTTTTAACATCCAAATGCATTAGTTACTGAATGTCCTACATTGTTGACTCTACTGACTCACACTATGTAATCCACCTTGAGTCCATGTGAGAAAGGTGGATTATAAATAATGTGAAATTAAAACTAAAAACAATGCTCACCACCCAGACGACCTGAAAGAAAGCCCCATCTCGACACATGGGACCTATGGCACTCAGAGGCACTGGTTGATTCCCCCCCCCCCCCCCCTCCCTTACAAGCCATGCCAATGCGCCCTGTTGTCACTTACCATCCTGTGACGCCTCCAATAGCCAGCTGGGTAGCTACGTTGTACTTTTCTGTGCTGGAGCCAGAGCTGGGCCCAAACAGCTTGCGCCACCAGGGCTGGTTCTTCGTGTACTCGGCCAGGTCCAGCACCTCATCGCTGATCTTCTTTCCTGCACATCGGTGCAAAGAGGCAAGCACAGAAGTTAAAACCAGCTGCTGGTGGTTATTGATGATGATGATTTATTACAATATTTATACCCCACTTTTCCTTCTGGCACAGATCTGAAGTCTCCCTCCACCTTAAGTGGCTCTTCCATTGGAAGAAGAGGCCCTTAGGTTGGATCCACCTCATTAGTTGCCAGATAAGCCAACTAAACATCATTTATATGGGTGACTGCTTCTCCTTAATCACTCCCGATTTGCTCTTCCATCTGCCAGCTGAATGAAAGATATTTGCACCAACAGGAAAACTGCCGGATTATAAATCATCTGTAAATTCAAAACTATGTACCTCCCTTTCTGAGGTCTCAACAAGGACCTGGAATTCCTCACTCAATATAGGCGCAAATATCTTGCCTATCCCAATCTCTGCCGCACGTCTGTAACTTTCTACTGCATCTGTTTATCTTGCACTAAATGTTATATTAATTTTACTTTGGCTAATAACAGTGGGGAACAGCCCCCACCCACTCTTGGTGAACTCTTTTGATGTGTTCCCCCCCCCCGTCCCATACATCTTTTTTTGCCATCGAGTCATAGCTGACTAATGGTGACCCTGTAGGGTTTCCAAGGCAAGAGATGTTCTGAGGTGGTTTGCCATTGCCTGTCTCTGCATAGCGATCCTGGTATTCCTTGACACACTCTCAGCTTTACTTATGTATCTTGGCTCTGACTGGCCCTTCCTGATGGCTGCCCCCCTCCATCTTCCTGTATGTGAGGCTTGAGGAAATTCTCTTTCACTGTATCTGAGGAAGTGTGCTTGAACACGAAAGCTTATACCTTGAATAAAACTTTGTTGGTCTTAAAGGTGCCAGTGAACTCAAAGTTTGTTCTCCAAGTATCTCTTGGGAGTAGTCTCCGATCCAAACACTAACCAGGGACGACCCTGCTTAGTTTCCAAGATCTGACCAGATCAGGCTATCCTGGGCTATCCAGGTCACTGGCCCAGAGCAGCTTACATCATTCTCCTCTCCTCCACTTTATCCTCACAACAACCCTGTGAAGTAGGTTAAGAGTGTGTGGACAAGCAAGCTTCCATGCCAGAGTGGGAACCGGAACCTGGCCTTCCAGATCCTAGGCCCACGCTCTTAACCACTACGCCCACACTGGCTCTTATGCAAGCCAACCACTCCCAGCCCCCTTTCTGCAATGTGGGATAATACTAACCTTCCTCACAGAGTTGTTAAGAATAAAAGCACTGCCCTCCCAGATCAGCCCCACAGACTATCTAGTTCAATGTCCTGTTTCCCCCAAAGGCTAACCAGATCCTTTTAGAAAGGCCATAGGCAGGGCATGGTGGCAATAGCCATAGGCAGCTGGTATCCAGAGTGACATTGCCTCTAAACCTGGAGGTTCCATTAGCTTTCCAGTGCCAACAACAGACCAGTTCTCTGAACTTTCCAAGGCGTGGGCCAGCACTGCATCTTGTGACAGAGAATTCCATAATCTGCTGCTGATTTGCCTTAATTATTTCTGTCCTACAGCCAGGGTGGTGTAGTGGTTAAAGTATCGGCCTAGAAGCTGGGAGACCCAGACTTGAATCTCCACTCTGCCATGCTGGGTGCCCTCTGGTCAGTCACATACTCTCTGCTTAACCTACCTCACAGGGCTGTTGTGAGGATAAAACGGAGGCGAGGAGAACGACGTAAGCCGCTTTGGGTCCCGACTGAGCAGAAAAGCAGGATATAAATACAGTAAATAAATATAGTAAATACACAAATCTGATTTAAATAAAAACATTTCTGAAGGCATGCATCTCAAGACAATGTATGCAAACCACAAATACTGCTACCTGACAAGAGCACCAGTGTGGTAGTGTGGCTGGAATGCCTGAAAGGGCTGGGGATTCAAATCTCCCCACTATCATACATTCTCAGCCTAACCTACATTGCACTGTGGTTGCTGAGGATAAAATGGAGGAGAAAAGGAACAGTGTCATGCAGTAGTTAGACTGTCAGACTAGGATCTGGGACACTCAGGTTCGAATCCCCACTCTACCATGGAAGCTCGCTGGGTGACCTTGGGCCAGTTATACTCTCAGCCTAACCTACCTCACGGGGTTGTTGTCAGGATAAAACTGAGGGGAAAAGAACAATGTAAACTGCTTTTGGTCCCTGCTGAGGTGAAAGGTGGCAGAAAAATGAATAAATAGAAAGGGAAGGGGAGAATTACATATATGAGTGCTGAGTTCCTCAGAGGAAAGGCTGGATAACAACATGACTGAGAAAAGTACTAGCAGGCAGTGTTCCTTCTAAGCTGAGTGAGTGTGAGCTAGCTCGCAGTTTTTTAGCGTCCGACTCACACATTTTTGTCTTAGCTCAGGAAAGCCAACTGATTTATACAGTAGCCAAATCACTTGCTCACAACTTTAATGCCTGTAGCTCAGAAAGTAGAATTTTTGCTCACAGGACTCCAGAGCTTAGTGGGAACATTGCTAGCGGGCCTGCAGCCCAGATTCCCTCCCCAAAAGCCTGGCAACAAAGCATCCTTTCCACCACCTCATTCAGCTTCGCCTTGGCACGAAAGGCCACGTCAGCACTGCTGTGGAGATGCAACAGGCCGCTTTGGGGCAAGGGCCGCCCTTGGCTTTCAATACACTGTATTATAATTGGTTTCTCCAAATCATGTATTGGTTCTTTGTAAGATGCTTTGAGCCTCCCAAGGAGAGTAAAAACAAAATACTTAATAAGAATAATCAGAAGCAAGTGCTCAGGGTGGGCTATTTATGTCATGAAAATATGCATTATGTCACACCAGAGTCTTGTTGTAAATGTGCGTGTGCCTGTACACACACACATATAAATAACGTGTCCTCACAATAAGAAAAGGTCAATTGTTTTTAAAAAATTAGTGGTGACTGCTGAAGTAAGGCCTGATCCTGTACTTGCTGTCTCAGAAGAAAGCCCCATTCCTCTGGACAGTTGGATTCCAGTCCAGTAGCACCTCAGAGACCAACAAAGGGTATATTTGTTCACTTTGTCAGCCACAAGTAGGAATGGAGACCTGAGTCCTTTTTATCTCAGTCTGAGAGTGGGAGGGGTATTGTAAAGAATGCTTGTCAGGAATGCAAACTTTTAGGGCTGCCAGCCTCCAGGTGGGACCTGGGGATCCCCTGGAATTACAGCTCATCTCCAGTCTACTCGAGAGATCAGTTCCCCTGAAGAAAATGGAGACTTTGGAGGGTGGATTTTGTGACATCTGTACCCCACTGAGGTCCCTATCCTCCCCAGGATCCACCCCACAACTCTACCCCCCCCCATCCTCTACCGATGGGGCGGGGGGGGGGGGGGAGAACCTACCAACCCTAAATTATTGCAAACGGACAATGCATATAAGTAATCAGCTTGATCAGAGCACAGAGGAAACGCTTGGCGGCATTTCAGTTATATGAAACAGTACTTTCTCCCAGGTAAGGATGTACAGGGGGGCTGTTATCCTGCATTCCTGTACACAGCTACACGGAAGTAATCGCCACAGAAAAACAGGACCCATTTCTGAGTAGACCGACCCGCTATTAACAAAGTAGGCGTTTTCCGGGTGTGTGTGTGGGGGGGCAGAACAAGGCCTTGGGGGCGGAGCTACCTGCCGGCCCACCGCGGGCGAACTGGGTGACGTCACGCGCCCGCGAGGGGGGTTACGCCCCGCCCCCGTGGGGGGGAAGCAGGGGACAGACTCGCGCCCCTCACCTGGCATGGCGTTGCCCCTGCGCCGCTTCTCCTGCACCCGCGCGTGCTGCTCGCGCTTGGCCTCCTGCTCCAGGCGGATGAGGGAGGTGCACGAATGGGTCCCCGGCGCGCGTGACGTCGGCACGGCTGCTGGCTCCTCCTCCATGGAGCTCGCCGGCCTCCAAATCCACTCGGATGTGTAGAGCTGGACGAGTTGGGCGGGGGGGACCGGACGGGGGCGCGCGTGGTCACGCATCCTCCTCCGCCCGGCAAAGGGCCACAGAGCGCCTGCCCCCGTCGCCTCTCCCGCGGGCGCGTGACGTAGACTCAGGGGGCGTGGCGGCGCTTGATTGTTGATCGCCATGGAAACCGCCGAGGAGGGAAAAGGAGGCCCAGGCCGCCGGACGTCCCGGCTCTCATTCCCCGACCCGAGAGAGGAGGAGGAGGGGGGGCGGTTTGGCAAGGCGGCCTGGGGCCCTGTCAGTACTAATACAAGCAATAATGAGTCATCGTTATGGCGCTTTTAAAGAGCAGAGTTGTCGTTCCTGTAGTCGTGAAGCAGGACTTGATTGGGAGCCGGGGAAAGAAGTGCCTCTGAGCATGGACAAAGTTTTAAAACCCCAAAGAATGTTGTGATCCTGAGCGGAGTTTCAAACGCCTTAGAGCACAGTGTGCCTTCGAATACGCACCGGGTTTTAAAACCCTAAGAATGTACTGCCTCTGAACATGCATCGTTCAGAATCTTAAGAGCACAGTGCCTCTGGGCATGCACAGAGTTAAGAATGCATTGCCTCTGGACATAAGGCACTGTTTGAGTCTCTTCGTTTGAATCTATTGTCCAACAGCAATAGGTTTTGATGATTTATAGTATTGCTTGTATATCCGGAAACGGGATGTACTAAAAGGAAGGACAGGATTGCCCATTGTAAACAATGGGAGACGCTTGAAGGCTCATTGGAAATAATGGGAGCCAGGAATGTGATTGACTTGCATGGGCTCCATTGAAATACAATACAGTACAAGTAGAGTTGCAATAAAAATGCAGAATGGATTTTCCATTAGGGTCTCAAGGCCCAAATACACAACTCTATGGATGGAATGAGAGACCACGGAGTGGAATGACAGCCCCAGGGTGTAGCAGGAGTGTTCTGTGACCGGGATGAGAGACCACGGAGTGGAATGACAGCCCCAGGGTGTAGCAGGAGTGATCTGTGACTGGGATGAGAGACCACGGAGTGGAATGACAGCCCCTGGGGGTAGCAGGAGTGTTCAGGGATTGGAATGACAGGTCCCAGAATACAATGACAGCCCCAGGGTGTAGCAGGAGTGTTCAGGGACTGGAATGAGAGACCACAGAGGGGAATGCCAGCTT